GCGCGGGGTGTAGAGCCTCTCTACGCGAGGGGTATTCCTCTGTGTACGCCCCACCCAACCAATGGGTCCAGCTGTTATCTTTACGAGGGGGGGGGGGGGGGGGCAGAAGGAGGAGAGTGAGAGGGCGTTTTTCTGAGGCGGCGGCGGTGCCGAACACTAAACCATCAGCCACAGCACCCGCCTGCCACTTGCCCCCCGCTGCCCCCGCTCGCACTAGTGCAATCGGTTCATCGATGACCACAGTTGCAACCTGACTTGATTTCACTATTTTCTTGGGTGACACCATTTGCTGTTGTTTTTTGTTTTTTTTGGGGGGGGAGCATTAGATGCATGTTAAAATCTGGAAAAAATGTTCGATGTAGGGAATCTCTCTTTGACCAAAAAATGTAGTATGTGATTTGAGGAGAACTGTGTCATTGTGTGATTGGAGAGGGATAGAGAGAAAGAATATTATAGAATATATAATACAATTAAACTATTTATATGGGGTTGGACAGAAAAACAGGAACACCTTACATTATACTACAACCTAACAACAGCCATGCAAAAACCTCTGGAAGTTCTCCCTTTCCACTCATTAAAACTGTGAATTTGCAAACCTTTTAAAAATCGATCGATACGGCCGTGTAGCTGCCTGCGCCTGTGACATTTCTGGGTGTGGAGCGCCACAAAGGGACGGGACTTTGAAGGGACTGCATTGCGGTTACACAGGTAGCTGAACAGGCAGCTGCACAAATCTCATATGCGACTCATCTGAAATGAGTCACATGAACTTAAAAAAAGGTCCACAAAATTGTGCCCACATGTCCCACACACAGGGGACGCCGCATCAGCAAAGATGAGCCAAATTCAAAAGTAAACAGACTGGAGGACGTCGCGTGATATTTCCCCAAAACACCACACAGTTCGCAGTCTTTTCAGCCCCAAAGTGGACGCCTCAAACTGGTATTTACTGCACAGCTCTTGCTCTCCATTGCACTACACTGCAAGGCGTTCTCGTTATGTCGTCCAGCCCCGTGCGCCGCATTTTAAACAGAAGCTGTCACGGGAAGCAGAGCGTCCTCCCTGAGGGGAACTGAAGGACGAGCGCTATGAGGAATAGATCTGTGATCCTATCAAACTCCTGACGCGGTGATTCCTAACACTTTTCACGAAAAGCCCTCAAACTCTAACTGATAATGGAAGCTGTTTGCCAAACAATAAAACTGTCGGCCGTTCATCCCGAAGTGTCTTAAATGTGTTTACACTGCTACTGCTGATTGAACTCGGGCCTCATTATTGGAGCTAACTGCATTGCTGGTAAATTTATCAATTTATTCCTAACACAGTCCACTTCTTTCCCCCTCGGCTGATATTGTATTATGAATAACTGTGATTCTTGATCATTTACTGGATTAAATATCTACAGTTTACTGACAGTTAACTGCACCCGACATAGCTGACGAAGAAGACAAATCAATCTTGCATTTACATCTCACACCCAGTGACTCTTCAGTCTTTCGTCTCTTAAGAGGCGGTGGTGACTAATCGAGTTAAATCAATATGCCGTGATATGGATTATGAAGTAAACTTTCATTTCCCATGGATAACATCTCATCATGTCCTACTTTCCTATGGCTGTCTTCTTGAAAACACACTGATGTCTTCGTAAGACTGGAGGGTCCAGCCACTCACTGATGAGCTGGAAGAGGAACAGGGCACACACACAAATAATACGCACACCATCACACCCACTACACACCATATTTCACTGTGCACTCGCACACCCACCCACGCGCGCACGCACGCGCATTTGCTTACATGCGAGCTCGTCGTGCATGCTGAGAAAACGCCCTCTCACTCTCACTCCTCACACAATATCCGCATATGTGGCATTCTCTTTCGTTATTGTCGTAAATACTTTTCATTCAAGCATGCCAGGCCACACAATGCAGGTTCCACGTTTCTTTCCGATGGCAAACGTAGAATGAATGACCTCGTAATGTCCGATGACGGATAAAAGTAATTGTTGTGTGTTTTCTTTTGTTGTTTTCTTGCCCAAGTGGCTCCACACACGTGTTCTGAGTGAGGCGTATACATCCGTGGAGGGATCATGCCACATTGAGAACCTCCAGTGGGGGGGGGGGGGGGGGGGTTAAGGAAAAGGGTACGGTTCATCTGAATGCCTGAAACCTAGTAATGTCAGCAGCATGGGTCATCCAGGAAAGTTACTCTCAAGTCAAGTTGTGGCCATTCAATGGCTCCTACTGCAAGGGGATATGCTGGGCTTTGTCAAGACGCACAAACTGCTTTATCCGCCCAGGAACTCGGAGCGCGTTTGCACGAGTAGGGCACAGCGTGCGAATTTCAGACGGACGCCAATGTGTCTCCGCTGGGAAATTGTTGGCAACGTGTCAGCTTTTGGTTGCGTTTGCACAGTAGAGGCCTGTCGTGGTGGAAACGTGCTCAGGGCTCTCGGTTTAGGTAAAGTTCTAGCTTTTTATTTGACAAATATCCAGCTTACCCCTTGCACATGCATGTTAGTGATCTCTAGTAAAAATGCTCAGTGCACTGGTCATTCAAAGGCTCAACCACAGCGTGAGCTTCATATCCATATCAAACCATAGACACTTAAACACGGCTTTGCTCCGTTGTTGTTTTTTGCCCAAAAAAAAAAAAATTGCAATCTCTTATTCTTCAAGACATAAGCAGTTTGTGCGGCATATCAGTTCAGTGGATTTTGCGAAGCAGCTAAATTGCTCCCATAGATTCCTCAAGCACCCGCAGCACCTAAGCTTGCAAAAAAAACTAAGAAAGCCATAGCACTCATTGTCATCGTCATTGCAATCCGACCCCTCCAAGCCCGGCCCGGCCCGCCACCCCCACATCCACCTCCCTCCCATCCCCGCAAGCCCTGGCCTCCGCTTACTCAGAGCGGCCAGATAGGGGCGCCGCGTGCTATCAGACCTACCGTAGGCAGAGAAGTCCACCACAGTCAAGATACACGGAGCACACATAAGACACAAAGCAGGAAGGAGGAGAGCAGAGACAAAGGAAGAGATTGAACTCACAGCAGACACCAAAGATGTGTAATCACAGCAGAATGTAGTCAGCTACACTGGCGGGAGCGAGGAAAATGACAGATAGAGAAGCCTGCTCCTATCTCGCGCAGCAGGGACGTCGCGCTTTGAAATTGCACTTTGTCAAATATTCAGTCGTGTATGCGGACAGTTTTTTTTAAATAATTATAGGCCCAAAAACAAAGGCATTGTACTAAGTACCAATTTTCATAATTGCTCATTAATGACTGGGAAAACAATGGTTTGGCCGAAAAGAGTCCTGTCATTTTCCACTCGAATGCCAAAGCACAAGTGAGAGAAGAAAGAGCAACGACAACGTTTAACGACAGAACACATTAGACAAACAACGAAAAAAGAAAGAAAGAGAAAAATGAAAAATAATAATGGTGGATAAAGAATGTAATCAACACCTGCAGAGAATACACGCACTTGGTTAGCAGGCCGTCAAAGACAAAGAGCGATATGCGATCTAATACACTAATACAACAGGAAACTTGTCACCAGAGTAAAATGTGCACCACGAGGACTACGGCTTGTTACATAATTAGCTGAGTCAAACTTCCACACACAGGTTCTCTCTCTCAGCCCCGCGGCTCTTGCGTAACGCGGGCGCGTTGGCCGCGGTCGGCCTGGCTTTGTGTACAGTGTAGGTGTAAATCCCGCCGGCCGTGATCCGAACATACCTCTCCCCCTTTCAGGTTCTTCATTCCCATTTCACCCTTCCCCTTCTTGCCCTTCTTGTTCTTCTTCTTCTTGCAACAGCATTTCTTGATGATGCAGAAGCAGCATGTTAGAATGAGTAAAGCAGCGACCACGGCAATGGCAATGATGGCCCAGGGCGGCACTGAGGAGAATATACAGACCGATGGACAGATGGCACATCCACACCCAGAGAGAGAAGAGAGAAGCAAATACATTGACATTTGAACAACCAATCATTTAGCCTATACTCCATGTCATGTCCTGGGCCAAACATATTTAGTACGAGGTGCTAGATTAACAATTAAATTGTGTGAAAATTAGATTTCTCTGCCATTAGGAAGGGCAGCTAGTGATCAATACTGAATAAAGACATTACGAGGCTGCCGATGCCTGCAGCTAAAGACAAAATGTAATTCCAAAATCAATGCTTAGAGTCACATCAATACCAGTTGTTTGATCGGAGCGGGTTTGGGTTTTGTCTGCCACTCACGTGGGATCTTGTCGATTTCATTCAGGAACTTGTTTTTGATCTCGTCGAAGCCGTCGTTCTTCTCGACGGGTTCGGTGGAGTTGTCGGTGGAGACCAGAGCGACGGGGGCAGGGGTCACAGTCAAGGCACTGGCCCCCGTTGGGTTAGCGACTACCATGGGCGTTGTCTGATGCTTGAACAAGTTCCACTTCGTCATTTAGGCTGCACACACAGTCCCTGAGAAAAAACAGAAGAGAAATCGTCATCAAGAGAGGCCAAAGTATAAAAACCGGTTGGAAAAGAAAAGAAGAAAAAAAATCTCACACAGGAATCAACTCCGCTTGGTAAAAAGAAATGACAGCTGTCAAGGTTAATCCAACTTAAACACCCTAATGGGGGTATTGCGGTTCAGTGGGTTACACTGTAATACAGCTGTTTTAAGACTGGCTTCTAAATTAAACACCAAGCAGAACCACTTCACACTCAGTCTTCTGAAAATTCCCTAAATAATGAAAAAGGACCCAAAGGGGGTTGAACACTGACTCCCGAAAACTTCCTGGTACAGTAAGTGTGTGTGCACGGGGAATAAATGTTCACTCAGGTGACAGAAAAAGTAATGAAATGTGACTCGGGAACATTGGAATAACACACAGATGTTTATCAATTAGATCCGCTGACGGTATCGAGTTTATCTTCCAAAAGGTCCACGGCCGAGAGACTAATGCTTTCTTCTACGTGCACCTGCCACAAAGACAAACACAGACAAATATTGTAATGTACCGGTTTGTCTAGGCTGGATGTGCCTCCTGTTCCATGCAGACAAATGCTAATGAAATGGTGGATTTTGTTCCTCGCTTTTGTTCATATTTATAGTAAGTCAATCTCTTTGTATTCAGGGGGTCGAATTGTGAGATTATTTTATCATAACTATGTCTTGAGCCAGACCTGAGCACAAATTACAAATAACTAATACTTATATGTAATTTAATAAATGAAGTTTGTGATGACAAATTAAGCTGTCATCACAAAAGATATTTAAGATATAAATAAGTGTGAGTTTGCCAGAGTCTCGAACTCATGATGATTGATTTATCATCAGTCAGGTGCAAAAAGCTGCTTTTAAGCAAAATGTAATTCAAACCATTTACATTTGGAATATTTTCCTGGCACAAACACCCCACGGTTATCATTCAGTCTTTGATTGTTGAGTAATTACAGTCAGACAACGACTGTGTGTTGTTGAATGCATCCAGATCAGATCGTTTCTTTGCCAAAGGCCTCCTGTTCTGCTAACTTACATGTGCTGTATATCCTTCTAGAAAAAACAGAGAACAAAGGACGCCTAAAACAACAACGTCTCAGGGAGCTTCTGATAGGCGCACACAATCTTCCCTCGCAGAAACTATAAGACAACATGCACGAAGCAATTACAAAGACAAATTGCACCTTCATACACCAGCAAATAAAGACATTCATTTTATGTTCCAAACTCATGATGCTCCCACAACAATGTCCTTTTTCTGCAGCAGTCACACAACAATAATTCCAAAAGTCCAAAATCTCAGTGAGATTTAATGTAATGATACATAAAGTAGTACATTAGTAAACGACATCCATAACGACATAAATATCCAACTCATGATACATAACAACACAGAGAGTGTCAACAAATGCCAAAATATTTTGGGAACATTTGACAAAGCTTGTTTTTTTAATTAAATTTACAAAACCCTTTTGGCCTTGCAGCATTGAATCCATTTCCTGCCTGGAACAACAATTTATTCCATGCAATGATGGAGTGCAGCAGTCTGCCCCTCAGTCAGCCCATTTGAAGTGTTGCTAACACACTGCGCCGCTGCGAAGGGCCGCGGACGATGATGTGAGCTCACTTGCCGACACTATTTATGAGGAACAACTCTCAATTTATCGCACCTTTCTTTTGTCTGGAGCGGTCGGCGCCATGCACTCTGGCCAACGGCGCCTGACGAGGGAAAGGCCGTTTAAACCGGCGGGAACGAGACGGAATGAACGACCACAAGCGGCTCTCCGGTGGCGTTCCCACGGGCCAAACAAATGCTCATCCGGAGCTCTTATCGCTTCCGGGAATCACAGCGTGACAAGAGCGGCAGAACGCGACCCGCCGCCGGAGCCGTGAGTGATCGGGGCGAGGCCTCCGCCCGCGCAGGCAGATAAAAGATGACGAGCTTAACAAGAGCTGCTGCTGATTTTATTAAAGTCATGTTGAGACGGGCAAAAATGAGAAGAATTTCCCATTTCTCAAGAGCCAATTTCCCAAGTTGGTGCCAGAGATTCTGCTTCCATTTATTGCCACGTATAAATTATTTAAATTGGGTCTGACAGCGGCACGGATGAGCTTATATTATTCAGGGACCAGTAGCAGCTTATACATCTTTAAATACGTGTCTCTAAAATAGCTCGCGCTGTTATTATGTGGGCAGATGTTACAAACAGCCAGCGTCTTGTAATAATATAGCGAGGTGGGAACCGAGCGTAAACATAAAACATAAAAATGGTTTAGACTAAAAAATCCGTAAAAAAAAGACGAGTGCAGTGGCCTCCCTGTCATCTCTTCTAAACATCACGGTGCACCTCATGACGTGTCAAAAGCTCCACTTACGCGTTGTGTGAATCTTACCCTGCTAGTCGCTGCCGTCAGGCCAAGCCAGACCTATTCAATTAACCTTCACGGGTATCTGCAAAAGCCTTTTGTCTCCTGAGGACGGACAGAGAGGACGCGAACATTAACTGTTGTTTTATGACAGCAATTAGCGCCGCTTCACAGCCGGCGGTTCGTGGTCACGGCGGAGAAATCCACCTCATAAAAGGGAAATATTTGAGCTTCTTTGGAATTTATTTTGGAGGGAGGAATTGCCTGCTGACCGAGGTGGCTAAATCTGACAGGGTGTCTAGTTCATCAAATTTAGCCTGAATAGCAAGTAGGTCAAAAGCTCCACCCGGAAATATCCAACCGAACAGATGCAAAATCCAACCCGTTTTGATCATCTCCCATTTCACAGACTCGAGACTAAAGGACCAAATTAACAGCTGCTGTCATTTTCTTTCCCAACGCCCCCGTTGTGTAGCAACTTAAGTAGCGAATGCATTTGCGTCCGTCTGTGCGCCTTTGGGAGTGTTGAGGTGTGGTCAGGCACATAGTTGGTGCTTTGCTATTGTTTTTTAACAAGAACCTGGCCTGAAGTCAATTGCTCAGTATCGTGATGCTGATCCCTCAATGATAGAAAACATGACATAACTGTATATCCAACCTATGAGAGGCACGAATGTCTGTACCGCATATATATACTGTATAGAACAGATACGACGGTCTGTACGACGCTTGATAACACAGGAGGAGGCTCAGTGGTTCAATCCCCGAGCCGACAGATTAAAAATTGGGCAAGAAATAATGGAGCCCCGCTCGCTCCCTCTCGTTACCACCGCTAAGATGCTCCTGAGCAAGGCTCTTAACCTCCATCTGCTCCGCTGGAGCTGCGCGGTGACCGGCGCAGACTGCGTGAGAGTGGAACGGGCCGATCCTGGAACGAGAGAAATCCTGCTGCAGAAATGTTCCCTGTAGTTAACTACAACTCCATTGCTTCTTATTCTGTAAGCGTTTTTTGGAGTCATCAGAATTACAGAGCAGCTATCGGTGTGATCGGGTCCTTATGAGAACGCACACTGCTGCGGGCCGGATGGGGATCAAGCATTTTCATCCTAAATGGTAGAACGAGACACCAGGACCGCAGAGAGCCTCCACACCTCCTAAGACTCTACCTCGACGAAAAGACCAACAAATTGTAGCACTTAAATTGTACTTGTAACGCCACTTATCTATAGCAAATTGTAAATTGGCTTATTTGAGGAAATTGCACTTTCCTGTTTCTTGCTCTTTTGAGTTTGTATCCCTATGGATGAAATGCACTTATTGTAAGTTGCTTTGGATAAAAGCGTCAGCTAAATGACATGTAATGTAATGTAAAATGAACTGTGAACATAAAGGTTTAGCTGACACACAGGAAGGTCATTTGTTGAAGATCACTGATACAGTCTATCAGGAGAAATGGAATTGTGCTTCTTTGCTTTTGAAACACATCCGTCCGCTTATTTTGCTTTTGTTGGTAGAAATAATCATAACTTAAGCTTATTCTGTTCCAGTGGAATCCATTTTAAAAAACGCATACAGAAATAGTTTACCCATCACAAGGTGTTTCTCTGATTATTTCACCTCTTGTATATCGTAACATGTTCTTTGACATGATCCATCTTGTCTTCCCTCATATTTAAAAGCTTTTTTTCATGGATTTTATTCACGACTGTGGAGAGATGACACAAGGAACTCGAGCCGGATGCTTTTTTGGTCGACGTATCAATTCCCAACACCTATATAAGGATATTTAATGCCCTGATGTTTTATGCAAATTAATAAGAGGGACAAATAAGATAATCGGGAGATATATTAATCATATATGCACACTAATGGATTACCACATCACGTGTTGCCTTCATCATCATTAGAGAAAAATATGAGTCACTTAAAACCCCTCAAATATGCCGGCAGGCTGAGTGCTCTTACTTAATTACCACCCACCTGTCAAACTCTAATTATAATGACTACATCTCTTCCCACATACAAACACAAGACGAAGAAACGCTGCCCTCCCTATCTGATGCCATCATGCGTGATGACCCACTGACCACACCGCGGTGACAGGAAGCCCACCACCTGCAGACAAAACTCCACGTTACTGAGGGCTTATTAGCACCGGATGCAAGCCAAAACAACCCAAGGAGAGCCCAAGTCATCCAGCTGTTTCATTACACGACAACAAGGAACCTGAACGGCAATTAATTAGCGATATGTAGCCAGACGGTAAAGTCTTTTGTCCCCCCAGCCACCCCCCGGCCCTTTAACTTGCCTTCGTGCTAGTTCCCACAGCTGTCTGCCAGTGGCCAATCTACGTACGCGTTGCTCTGCGGGTTTCATTACGGACGCGGCATGTGCGACATCGAGAACGTCTCTGCACGCACTCTCAAAATGGCTTCTGCAGAAGCAGAGGAAAGTGGTGGCGGGGTCATGTGCCCGCAGCTCGGGGCAACAGTCAGGAGCAGTGGGGCGACAAATTAAGTATTGAATATTTGCCGCAGCAAAAAGGTTGTTCGCGTTGGAAGGGAAAGAACGGGCGGCTCCTCGGCGGCCTGCAGAAGACCAGGGTCCT